ACATTTGAAAGACAAATGTTATGATAATTAGAAATAATACGTAAAAATGTATTTTCAGAGCGATTTAATTGATAGTCATTGCCTTAAGAGAAGAAATTCTAGCGAAGAAATTACATCAGAAATGGCGAAACGTATGAAATTAAATAATAACAGCAATAATAATACTAATAATAATCCAAAGTTAGTACGTGATGAGCCGGTGCCGTCGGGGTATGTCATGTAATTAAACTTATAATTGTCTTATTATAGGCAGAGAAAAAAGGGCAGAAAATAGATAGAAAATATAATTTCAAATTGAGTTTTGAGATAAAAATCTTATTTCCCTAAAAACAGAAACGTTTGTATAATTCTATTATTTATATTCAATGCAAAGGTATTTGAGATTTCGATTCAACGAAGACTGCGGTTATGTTCACTGCGGATATCGTGAACATCAGACACATTTTCATTGCATGAGAAAAGTAAGTTTACCACGGTCTCTCTCTCTCTCTCTCTCTCTCTCTCTCTCTCTCTCTCTGCCTGTTTTGATATGAGAAAATATAATGTCATATAACTCATTTGTACTGAAATATATACAGTATATTGCAACTAATTTAATTAAAATTCATTAATGGGTTTAAGAATTTTACTAATTATATTTTTTTGTTGCATATCTATAGGACTGTGGCTATTCGTTCTGCGATAAGACTCGGTTCGTTCAGCACACCGGTTAGTATAGCATATATACATTTAGCTTTCTTTTATATACATATTTATAGTATTCCGTAATTTAAAGTAGAACATGTAATTTATTAGATTTATTAGACAATTAAGTATTTATTTTACTTTATTAAAACTTTAAATTTAATAAATATTGCAAATCGCCTAGATACTAAAGTTACATGAAGGTTAGCAGCATTACTCTAGGCAAAATTTAGTTGATTATTAATTGTTATTATTTGATAAGAGTTATAGTAGGCGTTATTATGAATTGATTATAAATATTATATAACTTATATATGACTTATATAATGGACAGCCCGTCACGAAAGACTGGACACTCTAATGGGCGGTGATTTTCATCAGTTCCGAAGTAACGTAAACTGCGGCCGAAACGACTGTATGTACGCCAACACAATGGCTTCGATGGCCAATAAAGCATCACATTTTCATTGCATTAAATGTGACTTTGTTTGTACCGATACTAACAAAGTGGTCGCTCATCGACGACAACACCAGAAGATGGATAACATAAGTGCCGCCGGCTTTGAAAAGTACAGCACTGGTCAGGACTGTCGGAACGACAATTGCAACTACAATAACAAACAAACCCATTACCACTGCCTTAAGTGCCACTACTCGGTCCTCGGCCTCTCCCAGATGTCATCTCATAAATATAAACACACAGACAATTGATTTTTGAGATATACTTAACATATTATAGTGAAAGTGCCTTTTCATCCGATATTTTTTTCATTTTGTAAATTATTTGAAAGCAATTATTCTAAATCACAAGAACCGGTGTTCTCCCTCTCAATCCCTTCATCTATCTATCAATCAACCAATCTTTACATCCCATTCCTAAATACAATTATAAATATATTAATACATTGTGTTATATTATATATAAATATACAAATAAATTCATAATGATATTGCATTGTGTTGTAAATGCAATTTAATGATGAATATATAGCTCTCGAGTGCCTCAAACGCCTCACCACAAGCTATACAAATGCTGTAATATTTATGCCTTAATTTAGTACATTCCCCAACATATTAAACATATTTAAAAGTATCACATAATCATTATTAGTATAGCATAACACATGATATTTCACATATTTTGTGATTTTAACAGAAAATCTCTTCGTATTTTACAAGACCAGTGATATCTAGTTTCTTAAAGCTATGTACGAAACATTTGATTACAATAAACAATGGTTTGGGAATAAAATAAAATTATAGTGTAATTAATTTATAATAAAATCAGACATTTTTTAGATCCAAATTTGAGACATTTTGTTCACAAAATATTTACATTTTTCACATAATTATAATATAATTGATTACAATTTAGACTAAATTCTAGAGAAAATCTCAATTAATTTATATAACTATTTATATATATAACGAAAATCTGATTTAATTATTAACATAACTGTTTTGTTCAACTTATTTAGAAGTGGTTTGAATTATTAATAAGTTTTAATTTATTATATATTTCTTCAAAAGATAAGATCACAAAAGTGTTAATAAAAATTGATTTTTTCTGAATACGGATCTGAAAAATAAAGTTTTAAATATTGGAATCGAAAAAACTATTAATTAATTTTCTTTATTTCTAATAATTTGGTAAATATTTGTTTTAATTAAAGATTTTGTTTTAAAATAAACTATAAATACAAGCGTCGAAAGATGAATAACTAAACTAATGCTTGAATTCATTATTATGTCATCTATTGATATGAAATAACATATTATTTGAAACAATTGGAAAAATTAATAATTAATATATGAAATACGCGTTTATATGTTATATTCTGTATATTATAATTTATTTATATATAAGTTATATATATTTATATATAATGCAATCAAATAGAAATCATATTTTGATATTAATTCATATAACTCTAGCGAAACATTTTCTTAAAACTGATACCAGTCTTATATATTGTGCTAATCTTTTGTTAATAAATAACTTAAATTTCACTCTAAGTGACGATTAGTTTTTTCCTTCTTATGTATACATGATATACATAACAAATAATTGATAATTAGTTGAGTTTTAGAGTGAAAATTCAAGAGAATATAACCATTTCTAATGAACAATGCATTGAATGGTGAAACTTATTTGCTTGACATCCACGCGAATATAACCAATACTAAGACGAGTCCAATGCCGACCATCACTGCAATCATTTTCATGTTTTTCCACCAGAACTTGGACTTGAGAGCACCGGCCTGTTTCTCAAACATCTCGGCCCCTTCTTTCAGTGCGTCCGCCCGTTCATCGAGTTGTGAGATCATAGCATCCCTTTCCAACACCTTCTCCACATTGACTCTCATGATTTCAGTCACTTCGTCCACCTGTGCCTGTGTTTGTTGCATACGTCTGGATGAGGCTTGTAATTGAGGGTTAGGCTGAACGCCCTTATCATCGCCCGCACCACCAGTTCCCGACTCTCCGCCATCCGATTGCCCTTTCTTTCCTTTTGATGACCTTTTGACAAACAAATAGGCGATCAATGGCTGCCTGTCATACATGTATTGGCTATTGGTTTCATATGTGACTTACATTATGGTTGAGATGAGCTCTACTCACAACTAATAAGAAGGCAGATTATGGACAAATTACACCTCTTTCTCCACAATTCGTTGTTTAGTTAACACAGTTTACAGGTATATATCAATTAAACACATAAACAAATCATTGGAATCACGAAACCAGATAAATGTCCGACACATCCATCAGGACTAGATTTGCACTACAATTTGCGCAAACGTTACGCCAAGCCTTGCATTGCATCCGATTCTGCGATTCTCAGCAATTCCTTATCGATCCGCTCTCTGCACCACTTTTACCCACATCTGCCATAGCATTACACTCTACTCTATATACTCTATTCACTGCCACATAGACTTACAGACACACTATTCTACACTATTCCACATTATTCTACACAATTCACAACACTTTCCATTCAATCTCTGTTCACAGCTCTCAACTAATTCTCCCACACATTCTCTACACATCTTTTAAACACTATGTTTTCCCCTTAAACACTACTTCGGAGCAGTACACCAATCATTGCTAGTTTTGACCAAATTGTGGTTAAAATTGCTTCAATTGTGGTCACTGTACAATTATGAACACTACAATTATAACCGAATAAAATTTATATCTCGAAATTGTGTTCAATTTACTTACAAATACATACATAAGAGTGACTAAAAACAATGCACTTTCGTTCATTTCAATGTTATATCTTTTGTAATGATTTCCAATAAGAATATATAGATATAAAATATTTAAACATATTTCATGCAATATTTTATTCCAAATCTTTGGCTTTACATTTATAAATAATAAAATATTATATAAATTATTACAGTATTAAATATAATAGAGTTTATATGACATATATAAATTTATATTTAAAATTTTACAATTATTTCTTAAAATCTCAATTTAAACTATTAAAACTCCATTCAATATTTACTTTTGATTCTGGTCAATATTTATAATGGTTAATAAAAAGTGCACTTTTCAAAAAAGATTACTAAAAAATTAAACAGATGAATTGTAATAGAAACAAGAATTGTAAAAATATTTCTAATTGATGCAAAATATTATCTATTTATTAAACTTAATTAAATTTTATTTTTCTTGTGATTTACACGTCTTGTGCTGTTAGTCGAGAGAGCGAGTGGTCATAGAATCGATACATTAGTCATCAAATCAAACCGAAAAGGCATTTATAAAAAGGTCCCTTTAATTTAGGGCCACAATCAGTACTAATCCTAAGAATGAGCGCAACAGCAGTGAAGTATTCAAGTTATAACTTATAACGTTGTTTAAAATTAAATGTAAACTCATTTCAACTCATGACAAACATTTTAGAAAATTTTGTATAATAACGTAATATATTATTAACGTAATATTAGAGCTGAATTACATACTTTTTAATGTCATAAATAGTACTTAAAATAAATGTATTATATTTATAAATTCAATGTTAATTTTGAAGCAAGGTGCATCATGTAATTTATAAATTGCTCGACAGCTTCAAATTAGTTAATAAATATGAAATAATTAGTTAAGCTATAAAATATTATTTGTTAGTGTGATTAAAAAAGTTTTAAAAATCCATCAAAATAATTGGATTTTTAGTTTTCATAATATAAAAACTTTAATAAATAATACGAATATTTCATAAACTACTGTAACAATAGTTATGTAATGATAATAAATTATTAATATTATTAATAATAATTGAAATATTAATGATTTTCAATTGTAAAAACATTTCAAAATTAGCGCTAAAAATGGCTTTTGATTGAAACACAAAGCGCTTCGCAATGAGTGTTGAGGCGATTGGTTGTGAGGACTCGAGTCGAGGCTTGATTTGAGGCTCGAGTCAGCGCTTGAGTCAGTGCTCACACCTATTGTGCATTGATTTGTA